ACCCCTTCAGCAGCGGGCCGCCGAGCACCCAAATTGGCACGCTGTCGCTAATCGGCGTCACAGGGTTCAAAAGCAGCGTCTGGCAAGTGCCGTTCTGGCCGGGATACTCGCCGAGGTTGAACTCGCCGCGCGGCACCGTCACGTTGACCGCCTGCGCGCCGAAGCCGAGCGTGAAGGTCAGCTCGGGGTCGAGCTTCTCGACGACGCCGCAGGGCGCGCCCCACGCGCCCAGCGGGTCGATCTGCGTGATCTCCGGAGAGATGGCGGCGTAGATGTCCTTGGCGGTCTGGTAGTCCGGCGCCTGCAGGAAGGCGGTGCCCGTGTCAACGAGGGACACGCCGCCGGGGAAGGCGGCGCCGTTGGCGGAGGAGTTGGTGACCGTCTTGCCGTCGACGAAGAAGGACGGCTGGTCGATGAACCAGCCCATGCCGGCGGCGCTGACGGTCATGTTGAAGTCGATGTACTTGATGTCGCCGGTGTAGCGGGCCGCGTTGACGCCGCCTAGGGTGATCTCGCCCAGCGGCGCGCTGGTGCCGTTCACGTCCGAGTTGAGGAAGATGGAGAAGCGCGGCTCGGGGACTTCGCCTTGTGCTGCGAGGGTCCAGAACCAGGTGGAGAAGGAGGCGTTGGTGACGACCTCGGAGAAGTGCGAGAAGCCGGGCGGGCCCATGCCGAAGATGCCGTCGATGGGCATCTCGTTGAAGGCGTCGGCGTAGGTGTCGCAGAGGAGGAAGGTCTGGTTGGGCACGGTGTGCCCCGCGAGGGCGACGGCGTCGGTGACGACGGTGCCGGAGGCGGGCTGCGGCTCGGCGTAGGGGATGGACTTGCCGCCGGTGCCGAAGGAGGTGGTGACGTTGTAGCCCGGCAGGGGGGAGAAGGTGTCGGAGGAGGCGCGGGTGAAGACGGACTCCTGGGTGCAGGTTGTGCAGGAGGAGGAGGGGAGGACGAGGTCTGTGGAGCCGGTGTCGAAGGTCACGGTGCTGTTTTCGGCGTGTCAGTTGAGTGTGTATCTGAAAGATGCGGACCTGGGTAGAGACTTACAAGTTCTGCGGCGGGGTGCCGACCTGGACTGTGCCGTACCACTGGAGGTCGTAGTTTTCGAACCAGTTCGTGAGGGAGACGGTGCTAGCCGAAGACCGCTTCATGACGTTTGTCTTGGGCTTCAGACCGGCGGGCACGCGGCGACGATTTTGGAGCGTGATTGTGAGGGGGTCCGCGGCGACGGAGCGGCTGAGAGCCGCGAGGGCGAGGGTGCCCGTGAGAGTGTCGAATCTCATGGCGTCTATGAGAGGTCGATGAGATTGGGAAGGTGTAAGGTCTGAGATGGGGATGGGTGTCGATGATGGGAGAGGTCGTCTTTCGTTGTGTGGACTAAGCTTTGACTTATATACAGCGCCATGGCTGAGAAGTATCTCGGCCTCACGGCATCACCATTACTCAAATACAGCCATTGTCCAATCCCATATCTTCAACAATAGTTTCGCGATGTGGGCGGGAGAAATCCTCCAGGCATCAGCCTGACGTGACAAGGGCCCTTCCAGCCTAGAGGCTAATAGAACATACGCAATGATGAGATTGGGGCTGAAGCCTGAAGCCTGGAGTTGTAAGTCGGCCGCATCACCAACAACACGGCGCCCTGGCATAGGGCTTCCCCGGATATCTGGGAACAAGGACTCCACGGCGGCGGCCGATCCTAGCAGTTATGGTGGTATGGAACCTAGATAGAGGCTAGTCCCGTCAGACGCACTACGAACGGCTTAATTGTACTGCGCTAGCTCACCAAAGTCCCAACGCTAGTTCGACCTGCGCTGGCTACGGTCTACCATTCGTAAGCCGCGCTGCGGTAAGTGCCGCAGGCTGAAAGTAATGGCTAAGTCCGATTCGAATGTTTGGTGGGCGGAGCGGGATGCCTGGTAGAGGCGCGAAGGATGCACCTTTGCAGCGTGCATGCAGTACAGGGCTGAGCATATTATGTTGTTTTAGCAACTGCACGTCTCGTATGCTCGGAAAGCGGTGGGGAACGGTGGGGGCTCTAGCTATTTGGACCCCAAAAGCTTGGCTCGTGAGGCAAAAGAGAGATGGGAGCGGGGGGAAAGGTGAGGTTGAGGTGTCGGGGCTCGATGGGTATTTCGAAGAATCTTGGGACAGGGGTGCGTTCCTCCCGTAGGGCGACCGCCTCCCTGGGTTAGCATCTCTCTGTGATATGTGATGGGTGAGATGAGATTTGATTGGACTTTGGTACGAACTTCTTCGTGTGATGATTCACGCGACATCAACCACGATCCATGGTGATGGTGTAGTTGAGCTGACTGACTACACACTCGGTGAGGCGCTGCTGATGAATGCTTGCCTTGATCTATTGATGCTCCATGTTCGAAGTTTGTAAATCTGACAAGCACAGACGACGAGCATTCCAATCCTAGTCAAGCGCCAGCGGCTTAGTATTTTGCTACATAGATAGCATTGCCACAAAACAGTGGTCGACCACTTTAAGGTAGCACAGCATAAATAGTAAAAGTCTTTCAATGACACTTTCTAACCAGAATTGAATCATATTTTCTACTAAAACCCCAGTGCAATACACTTACACTCAAGACCAGGTTGTTGAGGCGCCCCTAATCTGGTGTTGATACCAACTAGATGTTGAAGATACGGAGCTGCCACAAAGCCCACATCCCACCAACCAGAACGATCGTCAGCAAGATGGCGTCGGTGATCCGATCTCGACGCGTCCATTCAGACTCGGTCTGAACATCCGTCTTCTTCCAGTTCACCCCCTTGGCCGCATGGTACTCATCAGAGAAATCCGGCCTAACAGAGTCTGGCAACGCATCCTTCATGTCCAGGTAGATCTTGATAGAAAACTTGATAAGTGTCTCCGTGACAGGATTCGGATGACCGATTTTGTTGTGTTCGCGAATAGGTGGTGGTATAACGGCCAAGACCACCTGTCGGCCAAACCACTGTAGACGCCTAGCAATCGTCAGAAACCTGAGAGTTCGTCGAGAACAGTACCGAGCGAGACTCTCACCTCGGGAACCACATCACACTAAACTGCCTTATAAACGCCTCCGAAGCATCATGCGCCTTCCGCCTCGTCTCATCATCCGTATGCCTCTCCATAGGAATCCTCTGAAACCATAGATAAAACCCCTCCACCTCCCCCCAGGTCCTCGGGAAATTCACTCCAAAGCTCCTCGACCCATCCAACGGCTCCGTCCGGAGCTGGGCACACACCCGCTCGCCCCACTCCGGCCACGCCCGCTGCACGTTCGGATGCGGCTCCGTCCGGCGCGCCCCGACGAGCTTGCGCAGGTACGTCTCAAAGTACGCCGCGCCGATGATGGCCATCTCGCCCTCCCAGGGGTGGCTGTACGCTCCTGGCACATTCTTCCAGACGCTCGCGTGGATCTTGTTGATGCTCTCGAGGCGTCTGCGGGAGATGTCGGAGCCGCTGCCATACCACATCCAGTCTAGGAAGTAGTCCTGCGTCTCGAAGAAGCGCTGGTGGCCACGGCGGTAGGCCTTGGCCGTGTGGTGGACTGCTGCGGCCCCGGCCGGGGTCTGGACGAGGTGGATGAAGGTGGAGGCATAGCCGGCTGAGAACGCGAAGGAGTTTGCCATAAAGAAGATTGCTGTCTTGATGATTTGGTCATATTCCGTGTCAGGGTCAAGCTTAAGGAAAATCACACGGTTAGTGCGTCCACGACGGCTAGGAGTCTTAGGATTCCCACCTTGTCCAGGTACCTCCAAATCCATTTCCCCTTTCTTTCTGCTTCCGGAGGCCATTCTGGGACGGGCCTCTTGGGTCTAGGAGGTGGTCGGGGTTGTCGTGGGCTAAGCTCGAATTGTTCAATGCTGTCTGTTCCGGGGGGCAGGTTATCGGTAATGTCGAGCTTGTAGTATAGTTTGTCTCTCTCAAGTAAGCTAGGCGTCATGTTGTGTTATGCGGGATAACCTAAGTTTGATATGATGAGTCTTATAATCTACGCCAAATCTTTTCATGTCTCGAACGGCTCAACGAAATTCCACAGCAGTTGAGAGAGCAATACATGGCAGTGTTATACTCTCGAGAGCTCTAAGCGTATGGAAACAAACATCCCAAAGCAGTATCACTGTCCTCGGTATTAGCATCATTTTACAGCACGGATAGAGAAGGCCGTCCCAAGCACGCCCACCGGCAGTTGCTTCGGCATTTGCATACATAGATTCCCCAGACTGTCAGCAAGCCTCGACCCAAGCGCTCAATTTCAGATGGACAGTGGGTTGCTTTAATAGGCAACTTGGTGGAGGAAAAGAAGGGTAGGCAAAGTTTGACGTCCACGTCAGTGCCGTGTTTTGGTACACTTATAAACGAGTGCGATCGGAATCGGAACCATTTTGTGCGGAATATCGGAACATTTTACATGTGAGTCCTTCTAAACTCTCATATTTAATACCCGAGAGAAGTTTTGAGACTGACTAAGCTTAACCTTCAGTCATACTTCGCCCGAAGGCAAGGCATAGAAGAATGGGACGAGAAAAAGCAACGTCGATCAGGAGAATGGTCTTCGGTATCAGCGATGATAAAAAAAAAAAAATGATAAACCGGCGTATAACAAAGAAAGCAATTGTATTGGGGACAGAGGCAAGGACGTGAAACAGGACAGCGCCTGCGGTGATAGCTGTCTTGGTCACAGAGCCAATCTGAAAAGGACAGTGCTCGTGCATCGAGTCGTCACTCAGTAAGATATCATCTGATATTTCGGATTCAATCAGCTACCGGGAAGTGAGAGTTCTTCTGTCTTACAAATTCATTATCATTGAAGAAGATCCGATGAGATTGGACGTCACTGATTGGTGGTATGACAGATACCTGCTGTTGTGAACGACGATAGACGACGAAAATATAAGTCAATGGAGGCGACGGCAACGGCAACGGCAACGATGAAAGCGAAAAAGCCTTTATTACACTTCTAGACGCCAGCTACGGCCGTCAAAATCCAACTCCGCGATCTAAATCATCCGTGCCCAGAAGGTGTACCGTTCATATCTATCGGAAAGAAGTTGAACAGATCCGTCGTCAGCACGTCAAAGTTGAGATCTGGAAACGGGTTCAAGCCGGGCGCTGTCCCAGGCAAAGACATTGCATAGTCCTGAGGCAGTGGCTCGGGTTGCTGGCGATAACCCCTGTTGCTGAAATAGATCAAATCGTCCGAGGTTGTCGCGCGATTTTCATCGAGCGACGGGAATTGTATGCTCGTTGGGAACCGGTCGCCGGCCCACGACGGCGACGAATCCGTGGAGCCCCCGTCGAGTGTGGTTCTCGACGCATTGATGGAGCTCTCCACGGCCCACACAATTCTCTTGATGGAACGCACTGCGTTTGTGACAGGGTCGTCTCCGACGAGAGAATGCAAGCCAGAGATGGCCATCTGGATGTACTCGAGGTTGTGCGGGTGTTTGGCTGGATGGCGGAGGCTGTCGTATAGGAGAACTGCGCAGCATGACTCGATGAAGAAAGCGTGATACCTGCGCGACTGAGAAGTTGTTAGTTACTACATGCAAAGTATTCGAATGAAGTGAGAAGGTCTTACGTTGCAATCTTCAGGACCATGAAGCTTGCTGCTAGTAAAAGCCAGTGCGTCTTGGGCTGCGTCTGTTGCATGCCTGCACGCTTGTCGGAGCCAGATGTCGCCTGTTTGCCCAGCGCCATTCCCAGACTGAAGGGCAGCTTCAGCTATTAAAAATGGACGGAAAATGAGAAGGATTACATGGAAGTAAACTGATGGTCAGTTAGAACGGAGGAAATTACCAAAGACGCTACTCTTTAACGTACCGTTGTGCATCAGCAAGGATGTTTCGGCATTCCACACCTCCTGCTGCGCCGGGATTACGGAGCCGAGGCCCCACTTGTCGCCGTATTGACGGACCTGTGCGTAGAGCTTTTCGGCTTTCCCATAAAGTTGCCGGAGAGAGTCCGTCCTCCGGTTATAGATCGACTCCACGGCCTCCTCGATGATGGTTGCAAATTGGCACAGAGCCACCATCGTCGGCTGTCCGTCAGGGAATGCGCAAGAAGCAAAATCTGCCTTTCCAACCATGCTACGGCGCCCGACAACTAGACTCAGCCATCTGCACAGCGTCAGCCTGTTACTCAATTGCAGTACACTCAATTAAATATTCGTTGACTTACATCTCGAGAAAGTAAAGTGACCAGACAGTAATTAGACGAGCTTGGATCTCATCGGGGCAAGAGACGGAGCTCGTGGTTCCCACGTGCAGGCCCATCGCAAGGGCTTTCCTGCTCGCGACTCCCATGTGAAGATATGCCGAATTAGGCCGCCCCATGTTGAGCTGGTAGTGGGCCAGAAGCATCGAGTACTGAATCATTGGCAATGTGACAGAGTCCTCGTAGATGACGGCCTCTTTCTTGGCATGAATGAAAAGTGATTCTGCGACGTCGGTCTGCGGTGTGCCTAAAGCTCCAAGGGCAAGAGCTGCGAGCAACACCGCCTTTCGCTGGGGCTGAACATCTGACTCGGGGCCAGGCTCGTACAGACTGCTGAGTGTCTCTTCCAGCTGTGAATCCGTGAAAAAGGGCAGTGTCGGTAGATGCGTTATCTTGAACTGCTGCATGAAGTCCCTTGCTTGCTCTATCGGGATAGGGCAGCTGACGGGCTGCGTAGGCTCCACATTCACCTTGAGCGGCATGCCGAAGAAGATGTTTCGTTGCATGAACATGTCCAACCCCGGGCCCCCCTCCTGCACGTCCCGACCATGATTCTGCCCGTACTGCCCTGAAAGAAGTCCACGATGGATCTGCTGCAGAAATGCCGAGTTTGATGAGGGGCCATAGTAAAGCCGAGAACTATCAGTCGACTTCGGAGCATGATGTGCAGCAGCAACGCTGTGATAGACCTCCGTCTGCGCCACCTGCTGCTGGTGGTCTTCCGCTAGACGCCGGGACACGGCCTCGTCACACGGGCCATGATCCGGTGTTGCTGCCGACACGCCGTCACCGGCTCCGGCATCCTTCGCCGCCCTGCTGTGCCGTGCAGAGAGCCTGATCCGTGGCTTGAGGCGATATATGCAGTCTGAAGGCTTGTTCCCGCATTGCTGACAGGGCTTGTCACCCGAGCATTTGATCTTGCGCCGACGGCACGGCTCGCACGCCTTAGGGATCTTCACTGTGGATCGCATCCCGAGTTCTCCGAAGACGTAAGCCCTGCGGCCCCAATCAACCGGAAGCAGATTCAAGAGGGAATTTGGACTCGATTGAAAAGATCCGTAGAAATAATTCCTCAAATCCGATGGGAAAAGGTCTGAATTCGGAGTGCGGTCGTCGTAGGTGGGAGATGGAATGTGAAAAGAAGTCGGCGCAGCGGCAGACTGTAATTCCGTAAATCCGAAACACCGTAATTCCGCCACCGAATGTACCAAAAAGACCCACCGCCGGACCTGACAACATCACCAACTAGGTAGTATGGGAATCACCGCCAAATCCCGCGTGGAGGCTGATTGCCAGGTTGATTCATCAGCATATTATCTCGATAGTATATAGGTAAAATGTCAAACTCAAATTGCGCCTTGTCCATCCCCAGCTCATCGTGATTTGCCTTCACATATGTTCTTAATTCCAGTCGATGCACGATGACTTCGCTTCCAGCCTACGACAGTGACCAAACGGTCCAAGGCGAACCCAGCTTGAGTGGGGCATCGATTTCGCCTACAGGACTGACGATTACCCTTCGAGATGTGAGCATTCGCGTTCATGGTATGGGCGAAGACTTTGGCTCTACTTGCCTGTCTGTTCTTGGCGACTTGATTCCGTTTGGCAAGAGCAAGAAGTCTCAGAGGGTAGGATGAAATGCCGCATGTTTACGAGAGTAATAACTAACTTAAATGACAGAATATTCTCCACAACATCTCAGGTCAAGTTCGTCCAGGCGAAATGGTACGTTGAAAGACATGATGTCTGTACCCTTCGTCTATGCTACGTTCTACTTACACAACTTTAGCTCTTGGTTCTCGGACGACCTGGTTCTGGCTGTACCTCACTACTGAAGATCATCTCCAACCAACGAGAAGAGTTCCATCACGTTAACGGAGATGTTAGATATGGCAACCTAGGCCAAAAGGGGGCCCAGCAGTTTCGGAATCAAATCGTCATGAATACCGAAGGCAAGTTTACTGGTGTCTGAGAGTTGAAGTTCAGCGAAGTTAACTACTTATCAGAGGACCTGCATTTCCCAACTCTTGAGGTCAAACAGACTCTCGATTTCGCCACCGCAACAAAGCTTCCCGCAACAAGACCAGATCATCTTTTAAATGGCGATGAATGGGTCTCTCACAAGACAAATACGATTCTCGACTCCCTAGCGATCGGCCACACAAAGGACACCATGGTTGGTGATGAGGTGATTCGGGGCGTTTCGGGAGGTGAGAGAAAGAGGGTTTCAATCGCTGAAGTTATGGCAACGCAGGTAAGTTGACCTCGGCTTGATTTCGCCTTTGACACTACTAACGTGAGAGAACAGGCTGCCCTGCAATGTTGGGACAACTCGACGAGAGGCTTGGATGCCAGTAATGCGTTGGACTTTGTCCGTGTCCTACGAAAGATGGCAGACGAAGAGCAAAAGTCGATTGTTTCCACTTTGTACCAGGCTGGCAATGGCATCTACGACCTTTTCGACAAGGTTCTTGTTCTTGCCGAGGGAAGAGAAATCTACTTTGGCCCCACGTCCGAGGCTAAGCAGTATTTTGAGGACATGGGCTTTGAGTGCACTCCAGGAGCCAATATTTCCGACTTCCTCACTTCGGTTTCAGTCCATACAGAGCGCCAGATCCGACCTGGGTTTGAAGAAAAGATCCCAAACACTGCGGCCGAGTTTGAAACTGCCTATAAGGCTAGTCCTACCTACGTCCGTATGTCGACCGAGATGGACGCGAAATCGGAAAAGTCTCTTTCAGACGAGGTGGACAATCTGTTCGCTGTTCGGCATCAGGAGAAGAACCGTTCGTTGCAGTTTCTTTCACGCGAAGGAAGCCCTTACCAAGTTTCCTTTGTCAGTCAAGTCCGGACTTGCATTAGAAGGTATGTCTGCAACCGCAGCTGTGTGTCGAGGTCGTTGCTTGAGCTGACGAAAACATAGACAATTCCAGATCATGTGGGGTGATCGATGGTCCAATATTTTACAGATCATCTCAGCTCTTGTCATGGCCTTGGTGACCGGAAGCCTTTTCTACGACCTCCCTGACGATAGCACGTCCATTTTTCTGAGGCCCGGCGCTCTGTTCTTTCCCATCCAACTCTTTGCTATGAACAAAATGTCTGAAACTACGGCATCTTTTATGGGTCGACGCATCATCTCCCGACACAAGCGCCTGTCCTTCAACCGACCTGGGGCATACGCTCTGGCGTGTGCAGCGACTGATGTGCCAATGACAGTTGTGCTCTTCTCCCTCTTCCAGGTAGTCTACTACTTCATTGTCAACTTTCAGAGAGAGGCGGGTCATTTCTTCGCCAACTGGTTCGTTCTTATCTTGTGCACACTTTGCTTTGCGTCAATGTTCCGGATGATCGGGGCGTGGTGCAAGCATTTCGGACTTGCATCGCAGATTACGGGGTGGACGACGATGGTTTGCATGGTTTACGCTGGTAAGCTACGTTGATCAGAGAGACGAGAGTCAACAGCTAATTGGTCTCAGGATACCTTATTCCCGTGCCTAGCATGCCTGTCTGGTTCCGTTGGATCTCATGGCTCAACCCAGCGACATATACCTTCGAGGCCATCATGGCTACGGAAATGGGTGACCTCGCACTTGATTGTGTCGCCCCTCAGTACATCCCGTTTGGGCCTAGCTACAATGACAATCAGTTCCGTAGCTGCACCGTCCGTGGCTCCACATCCGGCTCTTCGCTCATCGACGGCGAGAGGTACATGAACGCTCAGTACTCGGTCTATCGCGCACACATCTGGCGTAATGCTGGCATTCTCATCGGACTTTGGATCTTCTTTGCATTCATGACGGCTGTTGGTTTCGAGGTCAATCTTCACACCGACGCAGGTTCGAAGATTTTGTTCGATCGAAGGAGCCGCCAGAAGCAGATGGCCCGGGCTGCCGACGAGGAGAAGGGGGGTAGCTCGCCAACCTCCCAGGATGTGTCACCCATGTCCCTTAGCAGGACTGTCTTTACGTTCAAGGATATCAGCTACTTTGTTCGTCACGGAGGTCAAGATCTGCAACTTCTTCGGGATGTGTCAGGATTTGTAAAGCCAGGCCAGCTTGTTGCGCTGATGGGCAGCTCCGGTGCTGGCAAGACGACGCTCATGGACGTCCTGGCGCAGAGAAAGGACAGTGGCCGCATCGAGGGAAGCATCATGGTCAACGGCAAACCGCAAGGAATTAGCTTCCAACGTACGACTGGATATTGCGAGCAGAACGATGTCCACGAGCCAACCGCAACAGTCTGGGAGAGCCTCCTTTTCTCGGCAAGACTGCGTCAGAGTCATACAATCCCGGACGCGGAGAAGCAAGATTATGTTCGAAGCATTATGGACCTACTTGAGCTCACGCCTTTGCAACATGCTATTGTTGGCAGTAAGTTACATGTCCATTGGTGACTATGAACCTCGAGCATTTACTAACTCATTCCGCCAGCCCCTGGATCAGGTCTGTCTATAGAGCAACGAAAGCGCCTCACCCTCGCCACCGAACTCGTCGCCAAACCGTCTCTCCTTTTCCTCGACGAACCTACATCTGGTCTTGATGGTCAGTCAGCTTACGAAATCTGCCGCTTCATGCGTAAGCTTGCTGCTTCAGGTCAGACGATCATCTGCACCATCCACCAGCCCTCAGCAACCCTCTTCGATGCTTTCGACGTGCTTCTTCTTCTCGCACGTGGAGGAAGAACGACGTACTTCGGGCCGACGGGCAAGAACTCTGCTACAGTGATCGATTACTTTGGCCGCAATGGAGCACCCTGTCCCCCGGACTCTAACCCTGCCGAGCACATTGTCGATGTCGTCCAGGGTCGCTTCGGAACGGAGATCGACTGGCCGCAGACATGGCTGGAGTCTCCCGAGAGAGAATTTGCAATGTCCGAGCTGGATGCCCTGAATGCCGTAGAGAGCCACGAGAAAGACCAAGCCTCTTTTTCGGCTACTACTTCAGATGACCTCGACCAGCACACCGGCTTCGCGACCCCGATTCCCTACCAAGTCTATCTTGTTACCCTCCGTCAACTGGTTGCTCTCTGGCGCAACCCAGATTACGTGTGGAACAAGATTGGACTGCATATCACTAACGGGCTTTTTGGTGGCTTTACGTTCTACATGCTCGGGTCCGGCACGTTCGATCTGCAGCTCCGACTGATGGCAGTGTTCAACTTCGTCTTCGTCGCCCCAGGATGCATCAACCAGCTACAGCCGCTATTCATCCGCAACCGGGATGTCTTCGAGACGCGCGAGAAGAAATCCAAAACCTACCACTGGTTCGCATTCGTAGCTGCGCAGCTGCTTTCAGAAACGCCCGTTCTGATAATCTGCGGAACCTTGGCGTTTGTGACCTGGTACTTCACAGTTGGATTCCCCACCGAGGCCAGTGTGTCGGGACAAGTCTACCTCCAGATGATCCGTGAGTTCGCCATCGGTATCCCACGTTCATGCCTATCCATGCTAACGCAAACTGTGTTCAGTCTACGAGTTCCTGTACACCTCTCTTGGCCAAGCCATCGCTGCCTACAGCCCGAACGCTTTCTTTGCGGCGCTTGCGAACCCCATCATCATTGGGGCGGCTTTAATCAACTTCTGCGGCGTTGTGGTTCCGTATTCTCAGATCACAACATTTTGGAGGTACTGGCTTTACTGGCTGGACCCCTTCACCTATCTCATCCAAGGTCTTCTTGAACCTGTGTCATGGGGTGTTGAGGTACAATGCAAGCCTGATGAGCTGAGCTACATCCCTCTCCCAAGCAACAGCACATGTGGGGAGTACATGGCAGACTTCCTGTCTTCAGAAGCGGGATATGTGGTCGACCCGGCCAATGGCACCTCGTGCGCGTACTGCCCGTACACGACCGGAGCGGATTACATGCGAACCATGAACATCAACGACTCAAGCTACGGTTGGCGCGGTGTAAGTCTCTTCCCTTACAAGAATTTGACATTGTTGCTTACATGCTTCAGGTTGGCATCACAGCCCTCTTCTGTGTTTCGTCCTACGCCCTTGTGTTTCTCATGATGAAGCTCAGGACCAAAACAACCAAGACAGCAAATTGAAATACTGTCGTCTGCAGGTCACGGACGATTCCTGAAGAGCCATGACCACTCAGGCGGACGAAGGGAAAGACTGATTCGTGTCCAAAAGAATACCCTGAGAGTTTCATCGGACATGACAGGGCTGGTCGGACATGAATAGTCATCATAGCATTTCTCGCCGCTAATTCCTCGTAATAGAAAACTAATCATATCAGGTGATATCGCTACTATCGCGGTCCCTGTTGTCGTTGTCTTCTTCGTCTTCGTCCCTGTCGTTGTTCCTGTCGTCGTCTGTGATCACTGCCAGTCCGAAAAGCAAACTCTCTGTGCTACAACATAGCCAACAAGGGTCCACGAATGCACTGTCTGTATAACAGGCTAAATGTCTTGTGGAAAATCTTAAAAATAGCTCTCATCCTACATCGAACAGATGTTCAAACCATATCCATGTGGCAGTATCTTGACCGCCAGCATGCGCTTTGCGCACCAAGACGGCACGCTACTTGTCTGCCGCCGCGCATGCGGTTTCAAGAATGTTCGTCGGCCGGGCGGGCAGAGCCGATTAATATCACCTAGTCAATGAACTCTCTGCGTCCGATGACAAGTGGCAGTGCTCGTCCCGTTTCCGAAAGGATCTGTCGATGTTGAAAACGCCTATGGGAGGCAAGAATCAGCCGCCTGAAAAGCCACCTTGGCGTAGCCTCAACTTCACACCCGCGAGACTACATCGATGACGGGAAGCTTTTCTGCCCTGCAGCGGCACCTTGCGGAATACGATACCGACGATCTCGAGACCGAACTACGAAGGGCCTGGCCAGTTCACGCTACTTGAACAGACGCAAACGCAGCAGACCGGGGCCATCCCATCTCGCAGCTTTACTCAACTTGGGCCATTCGACCGAGGGGTCCCCGAAGAATAGAGCTGACAGCTGAAACAAAAT